TACACACACAAAATAAAAATTCAAAATTATTCTTAAAATACGGGTGGGGGAGGGAGTCTTCGTTAAATTGTGATAAGTTTTTCCATTTATGATTAATAAATATAGTTTTTATTTAATAACAATATCACCTAACCAGTACAGATTAATATAGAATTTTAAAAGATTTAAAACTTTATAAATTATTCTAATTAAAAATTTAAAGAAATGAAAACAATTCTTGTTAAAATTCATTATTCATTGAAAAAGAATTTTTGTTATAATAATAGTGTCCATAATATATCTTACTGATAAAAGCAATTAAAAGCTTTTCTAATTAAGTAATGTCTTAGTTTTAGTGCATTTTTTATTTTAGGATTTAGAGCAGATTTTTGGTAACTGGGAGTTCTGTTTTACAAAAAAAAAATCATGATTTAAATTCTCCAAGGTGTTCTGCATATAACTAATACAAACATTAAGCTGTACAAAAATTAACTTCTCAAAACTTCATAAACAGATAACATATAAAAAAAAAACGTTACCAAGATTTTCTAAAAAGAAACATTTCTAATTTCATTCATATACAAATAAATCCTGTAAGTTTCAATCTGACAATTATTTGAGTTTTGCAAGAAATTACAAATCAATACTTTTCATCACAAAAAAAAAGATGATATAATTTCCTATACTAATTTATAGTCCCCCACTGACATAAGAAAAACACATATGTGTGTGTGCGCACACTCTCTAGTAGGTTGACCTGTCAAAACTTTTCACTATATAACCATTATTATTAGTCTTTATCTTACTTTTACTATCAGCAATGCAGTTTTTTTATTATCATCATTATTTATATTATTTAAGTTTTTGTTTTTATTTTTATTTATTTTTATCATTATCTATTATGTATATTATTTCTATTAGTATTTTTATTAGTATCTTGATTTTATCACTGCATATTTTCTTAATATTATTAATTTCATTATTGATTTTCATACAAAAAATTAGCATTAGCTACCCTTGATCTCCAAACCTTATTTCTTTTTTTTAATGACAGTGTGCGTTTTTAAATTAAAATTTATAGTTCTTATTTTCAATCTTAAAAGTTAATCTGGGGTTAAATTCAAGTCCAAAATTAAACTACAATTCATTTAACCACTTAACAACAATAATAATCAACCCTAACAATAAAATATCTTGCGATAAGCAGAAGTATTAAACAAATGGTGCAAACTTGAAGATTGCAAATGGCATGAAACTCCAAGCTGAGCAATCAATGCAGGGTATTATGTCAATTTTTTTAATATGTGTGTGAGTGTGCATGTATGCTCAGAGAAGCTTGGTGGTTAAGGTAGTTGAGTATTTACTACTGTACTCAAATGCAGATAAAATCTAGGCTATCAAATGTTGACTTACAAAAGCAAGCATGTAGCAGACTCTTCACCTTTTGGAAGATCGGGACAATACAATCATACAACCTTGCATTCATTTCCATTGTGTAAGACTAACCTGAGCTTTTATTTATATATGATAAATATGATTATGGTTTGGTTCTCTTTGGAACATACCCAAATATCGATGATAGTCCAAAGATTTTAAATCCATTGTTAAGTGCAGGATATCACCAATTAATCAGATTAATTGGTAATTGATCATATCAACATTTACTGATGAATTACTTCTCATTTACAGTTTTCTTTTTTACATCACAGAAATATCATCCCTGGTTTAAGAATCATCAGTTATCTTAGAGTCTAAGAGAAAGAATTTAAATAATATTCTGATAGTTTTTCATAATCTTTATTGAGAGTAATTGAATAATTATCAACTGATTAATCTGTACAACTGAAGCTAAGAGTAATTCTTATCTAATAAACTCTAATAAATACATTGTATACAAGAACATATATTATATATATATATATATATATATATATATATATATATATATATATATATAATTCATTAATTCTGGGAATATTTAATCTTTCAATTTATCTGTCTTGAATCTTTAAAAATTATTTCAAATGAAAAGGTCAGATATATTTCAGAAAAGCAAGTTTCTTTTGTTTTTACATAATGTTGGAAGTTATCAGATATATTGAAGATAATCTAAGATTATCTTATTTAATCTAAGATTATCTCATTTAATATGAGTGTTAAATTCATCTCAAAGTTCACTTGTTAGCAATAGCCATCAAGATGATGCATAAGAAATCAGCTTACCTTGGAACTGCAAGTTGATATTTAATGAAAACAATGAGCTTTCAATCCCACACTGACTTCTCAAATCATTATTATCATTTTTTTTCTAAAGTTTGTCTTATTCAAAACAAGATGGTAGGACATAAAAAGTAGGATTTATTAAATAAATATGTCAAACTTTCATTGATTTTAATCATTACATATAAAATGATACCACAAATACTAAAAGCATGTATGAGACATAAGTAGATTTTTTTTGTTTAATCACTTCACACCAAGCAAAGCAATAAAGTCACTAAGACACAAGGGATTATTAGTGGCAGTGAAAGAAACTGAGAAATTTTTATTGAGTAGAAAAGACAATAAAATACAAAATTCAAAAAGACAGAAGTTGATGAGTGATGCATTTAAATTTTTGAAGATTGTAGTTGACAGGAAAGTAAGAAGCTGGAAGAGAGTTCCAGAAGTGAGAAGTGTGAAAGAAGAAACTATTAGAATAATAGTAAAATGAAGAGACCTAGCTGCCACTCTAGTACTACACTCAAATTTATGAAGTTGAAGTATCAAAGAGGGAAGCTCACCAGAACAATCAGCATGAAAATATTCATAGAAAATGCACCGAGAAATTATATTACAATGGTGGGAAAGTGATTAAAGTTGAGATGCCAAGTCAGAACTGATAACATTGCAGAGTCTTCTATGGATTTTGTTAAGAATCTCTAGATACATAACAGAAATACAAAACCATGTGTGTCAACAATATTCAATGCAAGGACAAATGGTAGACTTGTAAATGTGCAAATAGATTCTGGCAAGAAATATTGTCTAGCATGACACAGTGAACCAACTTTCCTAGCTGCAGACTTAACATAATGACAGTAAATGCCAAAATTTCAATAATACATTTAACATATGAACATATAGTGAATATAATTTGAATTCAAAAAATTTTAATAGTTATCTATTGTGCTAAAAATCTATGCAAAATATTAACTCAAATGTAGAAAAAGTATATTTTGACTAGACTCACTGAAAAATTTGTAATAGCCCACCCTTAATTAAAAATATCATTCTCACATAGTTATTGGATTATTCAAAGAATACTATCATTATTATTCACAAAACTATAAATGAATGATCATCATTATAGCAACAGTAGCCATTAAAAAATTTGATGATCTAACTATGAAATTTTACAATTTTTTTACTTAAAATTTGTGTACTGAAAAATTAGGAAGAAATTTTCAGATGTCAGGAAATAATACATTACAGACAGAAAAAGGTTATAATTTACATAATAAAATTTCAAGTCATATGTGTATTATTTTACATTTTTATTTGTGTAGCTGTGATTAATTTTATATCACAAATTAGAAAAAAATGATTTATTTTAAAATAACATAAATAAATTTATTAAATGAAGCTCATATTTTGCATAAGTATCAGAGAGTTAATGATAATCAAACTCACTACTAAGCAGTTATTGAGCCGAAGACCAAATGCTAATCATTACACAATTAAGTAAAATAAAACAGGAAATTAGTTTACATGTTTGTTTTATATGCATATATTGCACACCAGAATGTTTCCTCAATGACCTCTATTCTGGGATCATAGATTGTTGGGCCTCCATGTCATCAAACTTTCTCTCCCATGGACTCAGTCAAGAGCAATCATTTCTTGATTAGTATTCTGGCATAGTTCTGTATGATTGCAAGAATTATAAACAATATTTGTGCCTATTCAAATGAAATTCTCTTATTCAATCTGATCAATCAGGATTTGTTTAATTTTTTCTTCTGGATATTGGTGTTTATTGGCCAGTTAGAGGTGCAGTTGAAATAGCAAAAAAAATGTTTTATTATTTAATAATGGTAGGCTAGGTATGGAGAAGTGGCCAGTGTTAAGCAATGTTCTTAGAAAAAAAAGAACCTAAGTTTATTATAATGAGTAATCCTAAATAGTTAATGAATTGATAATGATCAAATATAACAGGAAAGAAAACTGATTATAAACATTATTCAATCAATTTGTCTTTTCTCTGACACTGTCATTTTTCTTTAAATGTTATATATGTAAAAATTTAGATGTTAATAAAATATATCTGCAAAGACAATATAAATAAAAGACAAAAGGAAAACTTTTCTTTACCAATGTATTTTGACCTTGATAAAGTTCCTCATGGGATGAAACATGTTGGTATATAAGTTTTTCTTTTGTCTTATTTATATATGTTGCAATGGAATGTCCCACACTCCCTATCGCCTATTGTGGACTGACTATATCAGTAGATATATATAGTAAGCACAGGATATACCTGGCGGACTTGCTTTGGGAATTACTAGCCTGCCACCTGATTCCCTGTCTTTCAGTAGTGTATTCACTTTTACAATAAACCTCTCTTTTATTCATCTCACCCGTGTTGCTGTTCCTTTCACTTGAGTACCACCCTTGTCTGTTTGTAACCTTCTTTAAGGATACAACAATATATGTATTACTTAAAACATTATTATAGTAGACACTTATATCTGAAATAGATACCCCATATGAGTATCCTCTATAATAATGTTTGAAGTAATAAAAATGCATTAAAAATGAATCCATTCCTTAGAAATATGTATGTATACGGATTTGTTTTCCCGGTTGGCTGTGAATAGTGTTATAGTTCAAAGCATTGATTTCAGGCTACTATCAGCAAAATCCTACACAAACTAGTTCAACTCCATGAAAGAATAATAATAAAACAAATATTATAAAGAGTAACAAGAACACAAACATGATTTTGATTAATTTTAATAATGACACAAAAATTCTATTACCTTTTTTCTGACACTTTCTTCAGGACTGGAAAGTTTCAAAAGGACTGGGGTAAGAAATTTTCCAAGTGCTGTTTCCAACTGTTCATCACTTTCTGCAGAACCAATACGCAGGAACACACGTTCCAAAAGCACTAAAAAGATTCAAAGTAAAGAAAGGAAAAAACTTAGTTTTCTCTCATCAATAAAAAAGAAAACAATAAAATCTAGAATTACAACTCCAATCTGGTAATCAGATAAAGATTTCAAAAATGTTTTGACATGGTAACAAGCAACATAGTATTCTCACTAGCATTTTTTTTCTAGATTAGTTATTCTTGTGTCCAGCCTATGGAATGAACTTATATGCTCTTCTTATTAACAAAAAAATCAGAAAAAGATACCATTTAGTAATTATGTCACTAAAATTACATATGATTCACTACTAAAGATACTGGAAAAATGATGTTCCATATACCGCACCAGTAAGTACCCAACTTCTCCTGCTATCCTCTATCTTTACAAGAGCCAGATCAGGACAAAAAGTCTATCACTGCTCTATCATTATTTCCATGGAAAGTGCTCAGACAAACTACATTCCTTAATTCCACCAGTACTAACCTTCATGGTTAAGACCACCATGCTATGCACATTCTAGCAAACCACCCTCATTCCCTTTATATTCCATTGGTGAGATGTAAGTTTCACTCCAGCAGCTTCTTCCCTCTGCTTTGTGAAACCGACTCCCAAGAAGTTGCTTCCCCAATCACTACAATCTTAATCTGTTTATGTCTAGGGTTTACTGTTATCATCCCCACATACGCGTATAAATCGTGTTTCTTACTCTGTAACCCTCTACTTTGAGTGGCTCCCAGGCCTAGTACAAGGTGAAAATAACTGTAAAAAAAAAATAAATTTAAAAAAAATAATAATCTTAGCTCACACTCTTCAATCTTATATATATAAAAAGCAAAAATCTAATGTGATGTAATTTGCCAACTTTGCTGACAGAATTCCATTTGCTAGATTTTGTGAATATTATCAGTTCAAACTACTAAAGAAATTGGGCAACCCAATTCTTACTTTATTCTACATAACATCCAATCACAAGTAATGTAAGATTGATTGAATTGGTTTTTTTTTACAGTCTATCAACTGTGTGGGTTTATTTAAAGCTGAAAACATTTTGGATAATTGTAAGAATAATTCTTTTTCTTTTTTTGAAAGTGAATATTGCATTAATGTTTTTGGAGATAATGATTTTTCCAGATACAAGTCCTACTATTTAACCTATAGCTGTAGGGAGAAGAGATGGATTCATACCTTTCCCGAGGGTATTTGTGTGTAAGTGTACTGTACGTAAATAACTACAGCATTATATAAAATGAAACATGAAATAAGACTTTTGGAATGGTCCAAAGTTAAATGACAGCCTAAAATATTCAAATGAATATTCTCATCTTTGTAGGTTTTTATCATAATACTTCAGTTAATGTGTACTTTCTGAGGAATTTGCTATATTTCATGATAATAAAAACAACATACAACTGTTGAAAGTCAAATACATCACCTGGAAGAAACAAAAATAATATTGAGTACTCTAAATAATTCATGCAATAATGACAAAGTTTCATCTTAAAAATCTCAGCAAAAAATAAATTACAGCAATGCAAGAAAGCTGGATTTAGCACAAATCAACATTTATAGAATATTTATAAGATAATGAAAAGTTCTTGGCTTCACATATTTAAAATCTGAGCATTATCTTATCACAGTATCCAGAAGGAATCTTCTTTCATATTATAAAATGTACATTTTTTAATTTGTTTCTGATCATTGACTAAATTAAGTCAATGAACAGTGTGAAATTTTCAAGTATTGTAGTCGGGGTTGAAATCAAGTTTCTATTCCTGCAGAAAATTCTAAAGGAAATCAATAATTGCATGAGACTAAACACTGCATATTCAACTGCAAAGAAATGATGTGCCAAGTTCTAGTATGGAGATTTTGACACCCAAGATGTTGTATGGTCAATAGTGTCAACTCCTGAAATTGTTCATCATGTTCATGATCTAACTTTAACTGATCTTTGCTGAAAGAATTGCCAAAACATTAGTGATATCCAGGAAATGTGTTGCATTTATAATTCATGAGGAGTTGGTTATTCAAACTCTGTCAGCCAAATGAGTTCCAAAAATATCTGAATGCTGACTAGAGTGAACACTTCAAAGTTGATTTTGCAGCATTTTCAGTGATTTTTTTAAGTGACTGGACAGTATTGATAAAACATGATTACACCACTTTGATCCTGAGACCAAACAAGTCTATGCAGTGGCAACACTTGGCTTCTCCAGGGACAAAGAAATTCAAAACCACAAAGGAGAAACCTAGCTACCATTTCTTTTTTTTTTTGTTTTTTTGTTTGGCTGAAGCTATTTTGATGGCTATCTTCAGAAAGAACGAGTAGTTAATGCAGAACACTACTCTATCCTCATTATCTTTCCCACACATCCTGCACCTCTTACTATTACTCCTCATACACCCTTATTCAGTAACTCTCTACCTTGAGTGGCTCTTGGGCCTTGCATAGTGTAAACATCAGTAAAAAAATAAAAAATGTAGGTATTAAAAGAAAAACAGCAAGGAAAATTGCAGAAAGATATTCTCTTTTTGTAGGTGAATGCACCTCCTCACAAGACAATAGATATTTTGAAGAATTTAGGGTTTGAATGCACAGATCCTCCACCCTATTTACCAAACCATGCTTCACTGGACTATATGTTTCCAAACATTATGAGGAGCTTGAAAGGGAGGATATTTTCAAATGATTTGGAGGTGATAGAAACTTCAATGACCAAACATCAGAATTCTTTTGAGAAAGTTCAGCAACCATATAAAGGTAGGATATGTGGAGTAGCAAGTTTCTTGACTCAAAGTCATTCCCTTTTTAGGCATGAAGAAATTTTCAGCACCCACTTGTAGTGAGGATTAAATTCACATAAAATGGGTTAAATGTTTTTGCCAAACAATGAGTATTCAATTTGGTTCTCTTTATATACCTAATTTACTTGGCTCCAAGTTTTATATATATATATATATATATATATATATATATATATATATATATATATGACAGATATGCACACAAATACACATACAAAAAGAGGAAAAAAAAGAAAGTCAACTAACCCCAACAAACAGCACATAAATTAATCACATCAAAATTAGTATAAAGATAACAAAAATAAGAACATCTGAAACCTTCTGACGAGTGGACGGAATGATTACAAAAAGGTTTGTCTATGCAACTCTGGAGTTGAGGTGCTGAGTATAACGTCAGCCAGCTAATTGACAAATTTTATTTGTATTAATCCTATATATACATATGTGTGTGTGTGTGTGTGTATTTATGTAAATTTGTTTCTTATTGAGGAACGCTGATCTAGCCACTTACTCTGTGCTGATTGTTTAAAATGGGAACCAGTTCACTTTGGTGTCTTTCCTCAATAACTTAGCAAGTCAAGACAGCTTTAATTTGAACTAGGTTCATCCATTCCATTTGCTGATAACTGTTATGTTACTATACACACTCACACAGGGTACCTCTAGGTGGTGTAATGGTTAGCAAGCTTGTCTCGCTCAGAACTATTGCAACTGAGTAGTGAGTTTGATCCTCACTGGGTACCTCATACTTTGGCCTTGTGCTACATCTGAGCTACGCTTGGAAAATCACTATACACACTCACACATATATATATATATATATATATTATATATATATATATATATATAACAGTAAACATGACTCAGTTTTGGAGAAAATGCAGTTTCATGGTGACTAGCTAATCACTGTAGCAGACACCCTATCAGGCACACTTTGCTTTTTCAACACCCAAAGAGCCATCCTGTGCTTTATACTTCAATTATGCTCAGCTAAGTTACAATTTCTGGGAGAAAGCACACAATCTTGTGCGATCAGTAGTTGAACAAGGCCAAACCCTTGGTCATCATCACTTGTAAATTTGTGCTAGCACAACAATAACAATTTCCAAACTCTTTCATCTACACAATTTCATCCACAAAGCTTGGGTTAACCTGTGGCGGTTTTCAGACACTTCCCAAGAGTGCTGTCACATTGGCCTTGTTTCACAGGCCAATACACTCAATTCTCTTTTTGCATGGTTTTGAATTAACACGGTCCAACAAAAAGAACCAATTATTTTTTACTATTAACACGGTTTAAACATCTGACCTTGTGTGACCACCGAATTTATTGCAAGTGGCAAGTAAACAAGTAACACCAATCATAATTTACAAAATGCCGAAACTCAATGTAACATGATTAAGTAACAATTTAGAAAAGTAAAATAGAATCCAATCTATTTTTTCCATATAGTGATCCCCCACTCTCTGGTGTGGGCGGGACCTATGCATTGTACATACCTCTGGCTGCATGTAACCACTCCATCAAACAGTATGCAATGGCAGTCGTTAGCATCAGGTCTAATACAAAAGATGTTTTGTATGTTTCAGCCTCTGCTATATTTTTTTTTATTTGCGATCATGATAGTGATAACCTACCCCAAAATGTCAGTTGATACATCTAAGAAAAATAAAAGCAATTGCTTTGGAGACTAAGATCAATATTTTGGATCGTAAGGGTGAAAGTGTAGTGTCCTTGGATAGAGCTTTCTGCCTGAATGAAGCTATGATAAGAACAATCAAAAGGAATGATGCTGCCATCAGAAGATCTATAGCTTCAGGAACAAAATTATCTACCAAGTCGTTGTCATATACAAGAGACATGATTCAAGAACAAAATGGAGGAAGCTTTAATAATAGTGATAGAAGAAAACAATTAAAAAAGGATACCAGTTGATGGTAAGAACATAAAACAGATGGCATTACAACTTTAGAAGATTAATGATCTGGAGTCATCAAGTGCATGACATCTGTCTAGTGACAAAAAGAATAATGAATTTGTTGCAAGTACAGTATGGCTTATAAAATTCCTTGAAAAACAAGCACTGTATAATATAAAAATGAGAGGTAAAATTTCATCATCAGAAAAGACTGCTGCTGAAGAATTTCTTCCAAAACTAGCCAAAATAATTGAAGAGGGCAGTTACATTTCAGACCAAGTTTTCAATGCAGA